ATTTAAAAAGAAAAAAATTGCCATCAAGTTGATTTTGACTCAGCAGCTCTGTAGGGCAGAGTAGAACTGGCCCATAAAGTTTCTAAGACTGTAGTTTTTACAGAAGCAGATTGCCACATCTTTCTCCCACAGAGTGGCTGGTGAGTTCCAACCGCCAGTCTTTCAGTTAGCAGCCAAGCACTTGACCACTACACCACAGGACTGCTATGTAAATATAATATATATAAATATTGTTTCTGAAAGTCAAAATAGAAGAACAAAGTAGGAGGCCTCACACTCCCTGATCTCAAAACCTACTATATAGCCATGGTACTTAAAATAGCCTGGTACTAGTAGAATGACAGCCATATAGACCAATGGAACAGAATTGAGAACCCAGAAGTAAATCCATCCACCTATGGATAGCTGATCTTTGACAAAGGGCCAAAACTAATTAAATGGGGAAAAGATAGTCTCTTTAATAAATGGTGCTGGCAAAACTGGATATTCATTTGCAGGAAAATGAAACAGGACCCATATCTCACACCATATGCAAAAATGAACTCAAATTGGATCAAAAACCTGAACACAAAACTCAAAACCATAAAGTCCATCAGAGAAAAAATAGGGACAAACTTAGGGGCCCTAATTCAGGGCATAAATGCACTATTGAATATAACTAAAAATGCACAGACACCAGAAGACAAAATAGATCACTGGGATCTCCTAAGAATTAGAAACTTACACGCATCAAAAGATTTCACCAAAAGAGCGAATAGAGAACCCACAGACTGGTAAAAATTTTGGGCAACAACATATCGGAGAAGGGACTAATCTCTAAAATTATAGAATACTTCAGTTTAACAACAAAAAGGCAAATAATCCAGTTTAAAAATGGGCAGAGGACATGAACAGATACTTTACCAAAGAAGACATTCATGCGATTAACAAACACATGAAGAAACTCTCTTGATCATTAGCCATTAGAGATATGCAGATCAAAACAACAATGAGATATCATCTCACCCCAGCACTAACAGCAGATTTAAAAAAAAAAAAAATTGTTGGAGAGGAGTGGAGAAACTGGAGCTTTCATACACTGCTGTGGGACTGTAAAATGCTGCAACTGCTATGGAAACCGTGTGGTGCTTCCTTAAAAAGCTGGAAATACAACTACCATATGATTCTTCAGTCTCACTGTTGTTGTTGTTGTTAAGTGCCGTCGAGTCGTTTCCGACTCATAGCGACCCCATGCACAGCAGAACGAAACATTGCCCGATCCCGCGCCAGCCCCACAATCCCTGCTATACTTGATCCCATCATCGCAGCCACCGTATCAATCCATCTCATTGAAGGCCTCCCCCTCTTTCCT